GGAGGGTAAGGGGTGGAAGGGGTAGAAGGAGTGGTAGGGGTGATATGGGGTGATACGGAGTGGAAGAGGGTGGTAGGGGGAGAGGGTGGTAGGGGCGGTAGAGGTGGTGGTGGTGGTAGAGGGGGTAGAGGGTAAGGGGTGAAAGGGGTGGTAAAGGGGGGGTAGGGAGTGGTAGAGGGGGCTGCGCAAGCAGAAAAGCGAGCGTAAGCGAGCATTTGATGCTTGTATAATATTATGATTTTATAGGCATAACTATATACTAAGAACAACCTTTTTAGAGAATGCATTCAATTGATTCTTTTATTACTCCACAGGTGTTGTTGTGAATGCAGAAATAACTTATTGAGTTAAGTGAAAATGTGAACAATGGTTAGAAGAGAATGCGATTTGAATTTCTACCCATGATGAGGCTTAACAGACAGCGCTACACGCTGTTTACCGGATTGGATGACTTGACATTAGATATTGTTAGTGCCACAACTCAAGTTGTCATACGGAGTACATGTCGGGTTTGACAGTTGATCCATTAGCATGCCATTTAACATTCTAGATCGAGATTTTATGGGTCGTATTTCGGTGTTCAAAAGAGCTAGACAGACAATCTTCTTACTCTTTTCTCCAGAGTTGCAAGGCCTGTATCCCCACGCAGACAAACCACTCCTACACCAGGCTTCTACTCGCGACGTTACTCTAATGTTTATCCTAGCAGGCCCTTCACACTGCGCTCATCAGTGTCTTTATTGATGATCCCCTTCCAACAGCGTAAACTATTGTTTGATACTTAGTATGCACATAAAGCCCAACGTTTTTCCCACTTGCTGAATACTTCATGGACAAGTGCGCATTGTCTTCTATATCTCGAAAACCGGGAATAGTTCGAATCTACTAGGCTCGACTGTTATTCGCTGCATGAACACTTGCTCAACGAGTGATTGACAGGAGAGTCCCATTTTTTCACGTCTCAAAAAGTTGGTTACATGGTGTTCTTCGCCCCGCTGGCGGTATGTTGCCGACTGCTCAAATAATACCACTGGTCTCACCGGATATCTGCTAGGTGGTGCACATATTGGCTCTCGTTCGGCCTGCTAACGGGAGCAGAAATCCGGAATATTTTCGGCTGTAATTCGCATATATTCTGTCTGGGTATGAAAATTGGGGTGTATCTATCGCGCGACACGCCTGGGGGGATCCAATAAGCCCTATGATAATCACCTCCTCCAAGTCGCATGGCAGGAGGTGCATATAAACTCCGAGGATCCCATTGTGGTCACTGTAACCGCGGGCTAGACAGATTCTTTGCCACCTAGGGTTCTGAGATATTATTCGCAGGAGAACTATGGATGAAGTCCCATAGTGATCATTGCCCTGAGTAACTTGACGAAGCTCATGGTTATATTTATTTACGGGAAGAAGACGAATAAATATTGGCCGAGCCGAGAAAAGAAAAGGTGCACCGCTTCGCTTTACTCTAATTTAGACTCTTGCGCAGAGGGACTGGAGATAGAATGCCCCCCCCCCAGCCGACACGGCGCCGCACAGATGCGGAGAGGATGCGGACAGATGAAGCTAGCAGGTGGGGCTCGGTGGCTTTTAGCCAGAGCTTGGGACGAGGTGAACGACAGGGCAGCTGACTCGCCAGACGAAACACTCATGTCACAACCTGGGCGACAGCAATGATAGCGAGCCGTTGCCAATAGCTTCATGATCCTGGAGACAAGACTTTAGACAAAGTCCACCCTTGCCAAATACGATCCCGGAGCAAAACCCGTCTCGCCCGCGTTGCCAACTTCTCCGAGAAAAAAACCTCCGACCTAACGCAGTAGGGAGACCCGCTGTTGGATGTCGCATTTCGGCCCTCCACTCCCGTCCGGTCTCAAAAGCGAAATGACTGCCAGAGCACTGCATGTTTTTATCTGTCCCGTAGTTAAATAATGCGTTTATGTATGTCAGTTACGCCAGCCATTATTGTATTCATTCTTTTGTGCGCATCGCAATAATAGCCACCAATGTCCCCCTCCTGACTGCAACAATACACTCTTGCTTCTCGTGATCGTTATGAGATACATTGCTGAGTTTGATTCTTAATACGTGCTTTCATTGACATCGGGATCCTGCGGGGTTTTTTTTGCAAAGCATGGGTACGATTTTCCCCGTTGGAGGCAAATCAACGTATGATTTTGGAAGACCTGAAAAGGTCCCTCCGAAGTCGCCTTTGTGGAGTCCAAGCTCTTTTTTGGAAAAAGTGTTTGGACAGCTTTTGCTAATGTTTCGTTATAGCTGCAAACGCTTTCGATGCTGTGGTCCACGCTATTCCGTCAGAGGGTTCATCCTTAACGAGGCCGGTGCTTGTAGATGTGAGAATATTCTACTCCAATCCAACCATTACAGCCACCCTCTATAGTTAGGTACTAATACTACTACCTACTACAACCCTACAGTCCAGCATCTCCTTTGAGCTCAGCATAGGTGATAAGATCCAGACCCTATCAACAACGAATGTTAGAAATGGAGACGCGATCCGAGGCTTGCTCTACGTCCCGGAGCTGGATTTCGAGGACCCGTGCCGGCAGGCAACAACTCCTTTCATACTAGCCAACGTAACTCGCCTCTCTGATATTCCAGGTCCAAGGAGGTCAATATCTCTTGCTCCTTGGGTCTCTTCTGCATGCACAATATCTTTCTTGGCAGCGCTGTCGCGAAATCCGCCCTACGCAGCGGTTTTCTACCGGCCAGATGAATCGACTACTACTCCTCCTCTCGCCGATCACCCGACCTGGGATCTAGGGGACCGCGATATGTGGAAGACTACGAATCGCTACCCTGTTTATGCGATCCCTGGCGTGTACGGTGCCAGTGTGATGCGTGCTCTGAGCGAGTACTCAGGGAGTGTTGCTGACGCCCCATACGCAGAAGACCTTCTGAGAAGGTTCCAGGGCAGTGACGTGGTTCGGGTGTCTTCGAAAATTGCTATAAGTAGTACGGGTTCCCCATCCTCCGAACTTTTAGGAATTTGGCTGACCTTTTCATATAGAAAACTCCACCGGTGGCCTCCCAAGCCTTTGGATTTTCCTCTTGGTCGTTGTAGCGATTCTAATTTGTATTGCTCTCTTCTCGTCCATCGCCATGCGGTGTATTCAAGCGCGCCAACTGCGTTCCTTGGAAAGGAGAGTCGCGGCGGGAGAAGTTGATCTAGAGACTCTGGGTATTAAGCGGTTAAACGTCCCACAAGATATTCTAGATAAAATGCCTCTCTATATCTGTAATGGGTCAGGTAGAATTGAACGTTTGATCCCTCCTACTACAGAAATGACCCCAGAATCTATCGACGAACCGTCCAAATTACCACCAGATAAAGGAAGTTTTCTTCAATCGATTTCGGGCTGGAAGTGGATATCAAGGGTATCGCAAGCCTTCTATTCTCGTAAATCACGATCTACAACACCGCCTCCGCCTCTCTCTTCTGCCCCGGACTCTGGGACTTCCCTTCCTTCTCCAAGATCGCAGATCACGCCCATCGATAACAACCAACAACACCATGCCGAACCTACTTTCGCACAAACAACTTGTCCAATTTGCCTCGACGACTACGACTGGGGCGAAACCACAGTCCGTGAACTTCCCTGCCAACATATTTTCCATCCCGAATGTATCGATAATTTCCTCCTGCAGAATAGTAGCCTTTGCCCAGTTTGCAAGAAAAGTGTATTGCCCCGTGGATATTGCCCCGAGAAAATTACCCGTGTTATGGTTCGTCAGGAACGACTCGCTCGAAGGGCTCGTCCACCACAAACGATAGAGATTGGCAATGGTGGTTATGACGCTGCAATGCCTACTTCCTTGGGCAACGGAAACCAGTCACCCCAGAACAGAGTAAGTGAGAATCGTGGCGGTTTCCGAAATTCCGTTGTTGATGCACTAAGGCAGTCGAGAACCGGCCCCCAGGCCACAGTTTCACCTCCGACAGGTGAAAGATTCTCAAGGCAGCGGCAAGAAGAAATGCGCATGAGAGCTGTGGCGATGCTCGGCTACCGACCCATGATTGCAGATGAGGAGAGAGCGCAAGACGCTTCTCGGTCAAAATGTAAGCCTATCTAAATCCTCACAACTGATAATTTTATCGCTATCTCTGCTTGGGGCCTTCATCCACCCGCGCTAATGAATTCATGCTCACGCATTTTTTTTGGTAGTGCGCAAACTCCTACAAATACTATTTCCAATAGTTCGATAGGCTGGATGCCAACGTACTTTTACCGACCCTGACCCTGCCTATGATTAACCTGCCTAACGAATTATGATTGACATTCTAGTTCCATTTTGCATATAACTATGGCCTGGTCTACAGAGCTGTTAAGCGTGATACCCACCAAATTTTTGCTAAATCTTGATGATAGTTGAATCCCTCGGGCATCATTGATATGACCTGCTCTTATATATACCGCAAGACACTGTTACTTATTGCATTCATTATTTTTACAACCGCCCCCGACACGTTCCAGTCGCCAGTCGCCAGCCAACATGCCTAACTTTTCTCCTTCTCTCTTTTTCCTTCCTTTTCACCTTTCACTCTGCAGCATGTCCTGAGACTGTACCCTTCTATGCACTTTTTCAACCATCTCACGCATATACTGAATTATTAAACCCCAAGATGTCAGATGGGGACGGAAGTGAAACTTCTAGACGCACAAGCGCCGTAATTGGGTTTTCATTTATTTGTTTATTAATATATAGATATTTTGAGATATTTTGGTACTTCTTGGGAAGTATATATGTACCTGGGGGAAGATAATGTATACTTTGTTTTCTTGTGGGAATTTCATCATCCATTGCTGTTGAGTCACATTTTTTAACCCAGATAAAGAGTAGGGGGTACGCGGCCTCCCCCGAACCTATAATGCTTCTAATAACTAAACCCATTGAGCCAAGAATTATCATATGGCTACCGTATAGGAGATTTAGTTAAGATCTTCAAAAGGGCCCACGTCAAAACATTCTCTCTAGCCGCCATAATATGCATTTTAGGTACAATTTCCTCCCGCCTCGGTTACAGGGCCGATAGAAGTTAGAAGTCGAATCGAATCCCACGGCATGGGATACCATACAGGGCTGGTATGGTAGCCAAATCCAGTGTTCATGTTTGGAGCGTATAATAGCATGTCAATGTATGTACAAACAGACAGACATCCAAGTTCCAGGTCAATCTGACTGAGCGAATGGGGAAGTGATTATGTTCTCTCGAGGTCTCTTTCAAGAAAAGTCGCCACAGAGTGGATCTCTCAATTTCGTTTAAGGGGCGAGAAACACGAGAACGTCTGGTTAATCAAAGCGCGGTTTGTACGATACAGTGTTGGGAGGCTAAAACCTACATCACGAGGCAAATTTATCGTGTTTTCCCTTAACCCTAGCATTCAAGATTTCTTCATGGTAGGAGCCTTCCTTTCTCGCCCTTTTCAGCCGTTTCACTTCGTGGTCTTCCAGTTTCCTCCCCACCGCAGCTTCCAATTCCTTGCGGCTGATTTTCTCCAATGCCTTGGACTCTTTGGATGCCTTTAGTTTTGGCTTGAAACGCGCCTGCATGCGGACGCGGCATGTAGTAGTGAATGAGATACTGGATGCATCGCCACGGATCTCGACTGCTGACGCAGGCGTAGATGCGGAAGTGCCGCGAGGTTCCTTTATGGAGAGGAAGGCTTCTCTATCGCCACCTGCTACTTGGAAGGAGAATGTACCAGGCAAGTCCGGTGAGGGTATTGGGACAAAAGATTCGTAAGCCGATACGGCGGGAGCGTTTGCGCTTAAGATTCCATATTTATCGCAACTTAAATATCTATAAACCTCTTCAGTGATTAGCCAAAAGATTCCAGGACGATGAAGCTTCAGAATAATTGCATCAAAAATCCGGGAATAACTTACCGCCCATGATGTCCTTTGAAATTGATACCTTCAGCGCCCGCGACTCTCGTAGCAACCCACACTTGTCGCACGTCATGCGGCTCCGCCGTGGCGGGGTCTCCCTCTATGAGGTTTTCAATTTCAAGAGCAAACACTTTCCCGTTGCCATCGCATGAGATGCACGTGGGCGGGCTCGAGGGTAAAACAATGACGACTGGGCCTAGTATGTCTGTCGGTGAGTCTGCGGAAACCCAATTTTGGTCCTCCTCGGCGGCAGAGACGTCTTCAGGATTCTCCTTGGAGTTGCTTAAAGGATCAGGCCGCCCTGCAAGAGATTGGTCATCCGTTTCGGTCTGGGGACGCTTGCGCTTCTTACGCTTTTTATCACCCTTGAAGGTTAGTGGTTTAACCATCGTATCGTTTTATTCACCCTCCGTTTGTTGTATACGATCCATCACAAGACTAGACCCTGAGCCAGTGACGATGATAATTATGATGGATACTCGGAGACCAAACCCCAACTGGAAGCTGCTAGCCACTAACCCATTTAGACTTAGGCGATTTCTTTACATGAGAAGCTCGGACCATGAGCTCTGCGGCTGACAAACCTTATCGCAACCCCGCCTGCTATTTTTGGATGTGCCTGAATCGAGACCTTGGAAATACTCACTCTACCTCAACGAATGTCGATTTTATACCCGATTGTCCCACACTGAGAAGAAATAAATAGGCTGATGGATTGTCGCCTTTAACACCTGTTACCACTGACCTCATATTCCAAGAAGCCTACGCAACTCAACGGCAATTGACGCGTAGTACAAGGTAGAGATCATAGAGCAATTTGCAGTCGGAAGCTTTCAAGGCCCATATTGTGCACCCACCTGTACTACGGTACGCGCTTTTACGGAGTGGTGGATACCTTACCAATTCGAAAATGTAAGTTAATATATCCAGAACAAATGTCTGATATCAAGTGCTACCTTCAAATATGATAAGCAAATAAGTATATAGGAGGAGGTTCGCTTTTGGGACAAAGAAACGAAAATTACAAAAGCACGTCGCAGACCATATCCCTTCCGCAGTTGGTTAAGTTAAAAGTCTGAGTTAACGTGGGAAATTGTATGGATCCATGATCACCGGTATCCACCTTTCACATGTTGCCGTGCGTATAGTTTTCATTCACTCATAATAATTTCCATCTTCATTCTCTTTCTAACTTGATTAAGTTACGGGCCGGGTCGGCATCATTGCTCGCAGGCAGTCGATGCCGGGGCATCGATGAGCATCTTCAACGTGTGGATACACCCCTAACATACCAACTAGGGATGTGATACAAGAACATGAACAAAACTATGGTGATGGTAATTGGGCATCCCACACACGAACCAGGCCTAGTAGCCCCCATTACCCTAGTTTTTATGCCCAAGGTCCTCAATTGCGGGCATATTTAAAGGGCTGAGGGCAGACATCAGTAAATGCTTTCCCAATTACCAGATTGATTAAATGTGCGTGAGGAATAACCATTTGTCGAAGATATACTTATGATCACTTTAAAATCGATCATTCTACTAATGTCCATGTTACTTTTGAAAAATATTATTTACCCGCCCGACCTATATTCAATATCCAAAGAACTTCACCTATGAACCGCACTGACCAAAAACAAATTCAAAATAAAAAAAATAAAAATAAAAATAAAATAAAATAAACAACAAAATGCGCAGCCAGGGATATATCCTAATCGAATGTGATAGCAGCCTTAATGGCAGACTTATTCCTCATTGCCTCCAAGCACTCAGCCCACTGTTCGAGCTTGAAAACCTTGTTTACAATTCCGTCAACTCTAACCTTGCCGGAATCAAGGTAATCGATGGCAGCGGGGAACTTGTAAGTTTCACTGAAGCTTCCAAGAATGGTGATTTCGTCGCCGACTGAAGGAGGAAGGAGAAGTCAGCCAAGTACTAACGAAGCTAGGTGCTACATATCAAAATTGGGATGGGGAAAGGAACGGATGACATACAGATCTTTGATGGTGGCCACGAAACGCGGTCGGCGTTAGCATAGACACCGTACACAACAAGCTTACCACCTCGGCGGCAGTAGTTGATGGCATCCTCTAGAATCTTCACGCTGCCAGTGGCCTCGATGACAATGTCGAATCCGTATGGGTTATCCGCCTTCAATTTGGCGAACTGCGCGCTAGGATCTTTACGGGAGAGCTCGACATATTCGTCACCAGCGTTGAGAGTCTTAGCCAGATTCATTTTGAGGCCCTCGGGAGCAGCAATGACGACTTTGCAACCGCCGTTTAGTTTGAGCATTTGCGCAAGAACCTAGCAGGATGGCGTATGTGAGAAAATAGGCGAACGAAACGGATGGGAATTTCCTCGAACGTAGGTGAAGACTTACAAGACCAGTGGGACCAGCGCCAAACATGAGGACTGTCGAGCCCATCTTGGGGGCAATCTTATCGAGGCCATGCGCAGCGCATGATGCCGGCTCAAGCAATGTGGCGTCGACATCAGAAAGGTTCTTGATCTTAAATACCCGGCCGGCTACAAAGACCCAGAAATGTCAGGAACCATTTTCCCATTTTAAACGACTGGGCCTGGGCTGGTTGGGAACTTTGTCTTACCAGGATAAGCACAGTATTCAGCGAAACCTCCGTTCATCGTCACACCGTGGGCTTCGAAGTGCTCGCAGAGAAGCTCCTCTCCCCGCCGGCAGTAGAAGCACTCTCCGCAGAGCTCCGAGTTGTCGGCGACGACACGTTCACCAACGGTAAAACCCTTGACCTTGGGGCCGAAAGCAGCAACAACACCAACGGTTTCATGGCCTAGTTTACAGATTTAGTATTCAAATCCAAGAGTTCGTGTGAGCGAAGGGTTGCATCATACCAGGGACCAGTGGGAACTATGGATGTTACCTAGATTAGCTTCTAGTACAATGACGGAACATATTTCAGATCCCAAAAACAAGGGAGGGTTCTGAGCCTACCTTTGCCAGGAATTCTCCGTCGTGGATATGGAGGTCTGTGCCGCAGACACCGCAGGCCTTGACTTTAATCTATAAATTGCAAAGTCAGAAGGCATTCAACACGATAAACAAGACATGTCTAGCGCAATGAGAGGGATCTCGCAAGAGGCCTCCTACCAAGACATCATTCTCACGGAGAGTTGGGACAGGAATATTGACAATTCCGAACTCCCTTGGCTTGGAGTACCTAAACGCAAAAATAATCACAGATGGTCAGCAAGGGACAAAGAAAGATGGAAGAACTTTCTAATCGCATCCCATATTCTTCTCAAAGACATCCAGGATTTGGATATTTTACTGCGTGGGCAGATGCAAATGGCGGTATACTGACTGGAGAGCCTTCATAGTCTTGGGGATTTGGGCGGCCATTCTGTTCGAGAGGGAAGTTCACTGCTTAATATCTGGGTCCAGTTTATGGGTTAGTCGCAACGTTCATCAATTGTCACCAATTGGGGTAAGTTGAGTCCTTCCAGGCATACCTAAGGATTTAGGGATGTGAGATGACGAGGAGTGGAATATGGGAGGAATGGAAAATAGAAAAAGGGGAAGAGAGGGAAGAAGAGGAGGAATGAGGGAGGTTTTTGAAGAAAGCAACGGTGAGTAATGGTACGAAAGGATCTTCCCGAAGTCTAACTGACATCGTCTCATCATGGATCATGGCGGGGCCAACGGAGTGGATTGTGGGAGGGTCGAGGTCCACTGCGGCGCGTCACCAAGTAAGTTAACTTTTAACCCTAAAAGAATATTACCAGAACCAGGCAAACTTTATCCGATGTGACCAAGTATCTCCGTCCTAGTACTCCGTACGGAGTACAGAGACTCAGCATACCTTCTTACACCTGGTGAGCGACTTTTCAAATATTAATTAGCTCGAAGCCTAGGGTAAGTTGATAACTTACATTAATAATATAATAATTGTTACCTCTATCCCCTGTACCTGACGTCGAGACTTCCGCCTGGTCTGGTACGAACAACTCGAACTAATTTTGACCTTTTGAAAGTTGGCTTGCTCATGGTTTACTCCCCATGAATAACATACGAATGCCCCGTCTGCTTCTCCACCGACTATCAAAGTCTACATGGGACGAGAGGACTGGACTGTCAACTGGTTTGTGCCATCGGAGCTCGTGGCAACAATGATTGGAAAACTGTGGGGACTTGAGAACATGGTTCTGAGCTGGGTTTACCCACAAGGATTCTTCTCAATTATGGAGACAATTGTGGCTACTATATACAGCGTAAATACGCGGAAGTTGGGACAGCGTCGTGCTGAGATGAGCTCATAGTCAGCATCCTGCATTTCGATGCACCATCTTCGAAACGGAATTCCACGCTGGCATTAGTTATGACATCAGGATGACTTTATTGGTCATAGAGTGTCTTTGAAAGACATGGGGAGTAATCCGTTCATCATTGTAGCTCTCAGTAACAGTAACTAGTGTAGAAGGTTGGGGGACATTCTGGATGGTTTTCGAGGCTGCCGCGAGCCTGTTAAGCTAGTTAAACTAGCGGAATAGAAAAAAAAAAATACTTTGAAAATTCTCTGAGCCACATGACCTCGCTACCCATGTCCTGCGCCAACTTGCGAGCTTGATAGCTATTTTGGGGAACTTGAAAGAGGTCTCGATCTCGGCTTATTATTGTGCATTTCATCCCGAAAAAATTAAGAATGACAGTTCTAGTCCACAATGGACTGTATTTGGGGTGCATTCAGATTAGCAAGGGGATATGCGCTCTGAATAATATGTCCGCGTATATCCAGGTCTCCATATGCCGTTCCTCGGATTGTCAATTCTTCAAGTAGTAATGATGAGCTCGGCAAGCGGGAGTGGGGATTACGAGTTAACTCTTGCTAGGCATAGCCGACATTATACCCGGGGCGTTTGGGGTAAAAATAAATATAAATAAAAAGCTACCATTTTTTATCATCACTGGAGGAATATCCCACATCCACTTTGAAACTACACTGATTCGGCCGCTCCAACGCGCGTATATCCAATGCTATATCCACCGCCATGACAGGTGGATGGAATTTCGGCGGCATCAGTGTGCATGAGGGAGCTTTTGCGGAGCCTACGGGTAGAAGTTGTAAAGGACCGCGACTCAACTACGAAACTCAGATCTTATTGTAACGTACATTACAATTGACAGGTCATAAGCTTTATTGGTAGAGCTCGTCACCGTAGTTACCATCGATACCGGTGATCTTCGTATCCCGTTCGCGTGCGACCGGGGTTTCGGGGCTCATATTCTTTGTCAATTATTTTTGTGACCTCCTTGAAGCTTTCCCGATAGATTTGGTGGCGGACCTTAGCTCCCATACAGAGTAGTCCATGACGAGCATATAAGTTGGGCCAGTAGCACGATTGGTCATGACAAGAAAGGCGCTGTCATTCCTCAACTAATCCGGTTTGATCTCTAGAACTCCATAGCCAGTGCACGAGGTAAAAATTTTTATGAAAAGAAAAAAGAAAATTGTGGAGGGAAGCGGCAAGAATTAAGGAAAAACCGAAAGCAAGGGCACATAGTAAAGCTCTCACCACCTACCAACCATAACCAAACACCAGCGCTAAACAATAACAGCAATAAGAAAGCCAGACCCCACCAAGCTCCGAGCACAAGATGGGCAAATTATAGACAATGAGAGATAGCTCCTAGAACTACCCTTATTGATCTAAAGGCGCAAAGATGGAATACATAGAGGTGGGGTGAAGCAAACGGCACCAATGAAAACATAGGCTAACGATAATAAATAGGCTGTAAACAAGCAACGAGGATGAATGTCTTGGTTTGGGTTTTGCAGAGAAGGGGTCTTAGGTCATGAAATAACCCCCAACCACCATTTGGGTTTTAAAAAATAGGGTGAATAGACGGATATTTTCCAATTTTGTTGTTTACTTCAATCCAAAGCCTTCGCTGTCCACTACAGCGCGCCACAACTTCTCTTCCAACTTCTCTCGGCTTTTGTAACGATACAAGGCGATCATATTGAAGCATGTCCTCGCGGTTGGGAACCTTTCTGAATCTTGCCCAAGGCATACAAGGCGGATCGAAAGATTTGTTGCGCCCATAGCTGGTATACGATCACTCCCAGTGATGAAGCTAAGAACTTTGCGCTGATCCCGGGGCGAGGCCCTGCTGAAAAAGTCCCAGAACCAAGTCACCACCGGCTCTTTTTCAGGATGATCCGTACGCCAATGTTCATAAACGGCGACAGCTTGTAACGATGGGATATTAAGCGCTTCATCTGAACCGCGCACAAGAAGTTCAATTTCTTCTGGACGGAATAGATGCATCGCATTTCCTCCGCAGACGGTGAAAAATCCTCGTTTGAAGGGTTCGAACTGACGTGCCACTGCTGTGTCTAAGAGATATTTGACATAAAGATCAACGTATTCTCGGCGATTAGAGTTGGTGACTGGTTTCCTTTCTCCTCCAGGACGTAGTGGAACCACAAGTTTCTCCCCGTATCGTTCTATCTGGACTACAAAATCAAGACAAAACGTCTCCTGGACATCACCGTCGTAGGTAAGTAAGTCGCGCAAGCCCTTTGCTAGTGTAGGTTGATATTCTGCGAGATCTTCCAAAGTGCATTTGAAGGTTTGTTGGGGAGTAGATAGGGTTGGCACGTTATTTGGAGGTGCACATGCAAGGAGTTTTCTGAAAGCAAATGGCGGTAAAGCGATGTCGAGAATTGTCGAGTTGTATATGGCCAAGCCAAGGAGCACGCCCACCAAAAAGAACTGCTCTGATGATTCGAAACAGTATGGGTTGAAGTAACAATACTGTGACTGCTCATCGTAAACAAAAAGCCCTGACCAACTATATCAGCTCCAGATTTTTGCACAAGAGTAAATAAAGGTTTTGGATGTAACAAACCGTGAAGGGGATCGAAAATTTCTCGAACTAGAAGTAGAAACCATTCTTTACGAAGGCCACCGGCATCAACACCCTCCTCGCCGAGAAATTCAATCCGTAGACCTTTCTTTATTTCTCCTTCCCCTGTGCCCACTACCTCGCTGACGCTGCGGAGGCTGTCCTCTGCCAGACATTCCCTCCGCACCTTCAGTACCAAATATTGGCTTACTCCTCGGCGACCCAGAATACTGTCAAAAAAAGCTTCCCGGGCTTTCTCCTCCATTTGGCGCCGCGCGTCGTGTTCGAGAATCCGTATTTTTGCCCAGATGCTCAGGAAAAACGAGTATTGACAAAATGAAAATTGACCAATACGACCCTCCCAAGCCTCAAAGTCCGGAATAAGGTCAGAATAATCTAAGAGCGTGTTGTAGAATGCGTTGATGGGAATAAGGTGTCTACGGCCCTGACCCTCGAGCCTCAATATTTCTTCACCGCCAGGTCGTATTCCATCACGTTTCCGGTTGTGGAACAAGTTGTTTGCAGAAAACAATAGGGCCATGACTTTTGCTGCTGCTCTGATTTGCCAGTCTTTGCCATACGTAACCGCCTGCTGGTTTCCAGGAGGAGCCTTTGGGGCATTTTCTCTATTGATTGCAGAGTGAAGTTGTGCTGGAGTAGTGTTACCAGCAGCTGAAAATGTGGGAACATAACCATCTATATTATCTTCATTCCTAGGTTTGGTCGCGTTAACTCGACGCCGTTTATCATCTCTAGTTAAGCGATACGTGACGAAACTACCAATGAGTTCAACAATGCGGCGGAAATGGCTTTCCGAAAATCTAGAAAACCAGGAAACCAGCGTGTGGTGACAGTCGACGGGTAAATTCGAGAGAAGACCGATAATCCGCTTAATAATAAGAGGGCGCCGGTCTGGTATGTCGCTGGATGTATCCATCGAAGTTGAGCGAGAGTGATGGGGAATCTTGCTGTGATAGCTCCAAATACCTCCACGATCTTCAGGTGTGTCGTGATAAGGCTTCTTCTGAACTTTAGAAATCCATGCTGATCTTGGGTTTGCGTGCAGGCTGGAAGAATATAATAACGGATTCTCTAGTAAAATCAAGAGGAATCGGATATCGTCCGGTCGCTTCAAAGGACGCCTCGGTCTCTGAAGAAGGTTTTCCGTTGCTTTAAGCAGGGTTATTTGCGTATGGCGTCGTGACTCTGCGATTTCTTGATCTAAAAGATAAACATCAGTGGCATGCCATAGTTGGGCCAACGCTAGTTTTCCCGGACTGTCAGTCTCCTCAGGCTTCATTTTTGCCCACTTTTCAGCCCACGACTCCCCGGCATGGATGATTTCTTGATACCATTCAGCAAGTTCAGACCAGTTAATACGTGGGGTCCTTGAGCTAGTTAACCTGTCGGCTGTTTCAGACGTTTTGTCCCTTGCGTAGTCATCACTTGAGTCAAGTCCATGGGCACGATTTCCAGTCCACCAGGAACCATTCTCCACAACATCACTCAGCAGAAGCGTTTTTGCATCCAATTGGAAAATCGGTGGGGTCGCCAGAGGCGTGGAAGCTGTATCCGTAGGCAGGTTTCTCGACTGTTGATTCCCTTCGGATGCCATTCGAGGACGATGGGTTCTCACGGTCGAAAAGGAAGAATTTATAGTATCACAACCATTAAAAGAGGCCACGAGATAGTTTTCCAAGGGACGAAATATCGATGCCGACCGGCTTGCGCCTAGCCTATTTTCGTGACCATGTGGAGATTGACTTGACTGTGAGCGGGTACGTCTCCCGCCTGGTACAGTCAAAATATCCGATCCACGGATGTGTTTAGTGTGCCCTGTTGGCTTCTCTGTGTCGGATAGAGACATCCCTTGCATATCACCTCCCAAACTCCTTATATTTCCAGATGAAGGCGCTTGTGATACAGGTGAGCGAGAGCCAGGGAAGTGTGATATTTCAAAGGTAGGCAATGGAGAGGGTGATGGAGTCCGCTGGTGGGATTGACCCGTACCATAAGGATTTGTCTGGTGATCATTGTTAGAGATGCCGCACTTTCTCGAAACAAGAGGTGGTGCGGCTGGATCCTGCTCCCCTGATTCCTCTAAAAAAGATCGAAGATATGAAGAGAGACACCGGTCAATGATATCCCGAGTATGTTCAAGAGATAAGTGTGGCACTAGCAAGTATTATTCAAGTAATGTTAGCTGTAGTAAACATTCGGAGTAGCAAGGAACAAACCGACCTTTATTTCCAGAATATGGGCCACGGGTGCTCTCTGTATTTCTAGGCAAGGTATTCGACGATTCGATACATGGCTCCAAGTCATTCATAGCGGTACATTTTCCGCATCTAAAGCCTTTTATTCCGTGCGGGAATGAATTGGTATGGTCGCATGTCATACACCGTCGCAACACGTAGTCTTCGTTTGCACTAGCATGCAATGTATTCTTCCGCGGGCTAGCGGACCTTGATGATCTCGAATGCTGACCGAGGTCATCTGCGTTTGGTTGTTCTCTGGCAACTGGCCGCTCCCGTTTCCTCCCAGAGCCAAATAATAACGGAAATTGATGGCTACTGGACCGGGTATGTGTACGATGCGATGGCGAAGAAAGGGTGGAGTCACTTTGCAAGGAGCGCGAATGGGATGGAGGGGTTTCGGGTTGATACGTCAGCGGGTTTCGCAGTCTTGGGCCATGATCATCGCGCCTCAACGAAGGAGACAAGGCTGCACTCTGCGAAGGCGGCGACGGGAGGGGCTTCGACTCAAGGTTGGATATCCGAGGAGGCATGGGATTCCGAAATATTTCAAAGAGCCGCGAATGTCTACGCAGGGAATCCTTATGGAGTCTTATTCCCAGGAGCCCTGGCGTGGATCAGGAAGGAAAGGAAGCGCTTTGTTACACACCAAGCAGAGTTGATTCCAGCGCCTGGGATAGTAAAGGGTGGAACAAATTAGAAATAGATTATTAACTTATAGGCAGCGAACAATACCAGAGTCATAGACAGAAGAGCGGTTTGAACAGGGAAAATCGCAGGAGAGGTTGCGTGGTTGGTGGTTGAAGCTGACTGTTTCCTGTCAACAACCGGGCACCAGTTGCAACATTCCACAGAAGAAATTCGTTGCAACGCGGGAAAGAAAGAAATAACACGGCAGCCGCGATTGTTCGGTAGTGATTGGCAGCTGTTATTGTGATATTTTTTTTTTTTTTTGTATCGTCAGGAACAGCCCATTGTCTGTCCCGTCCCCGCCCCCGTCGCCGTCGCCGTCCTGTTTTGAACTGTGTTTGAACTCTCCGGCTTTCTGACTTCCAGGTTTCCAGCCGCCAGCAGTTTGGCGGCGTGGGGCCCGAGTCGAGTGGAGTAAATAGGCTGGACTTAGGGGGAACACTCTCTGTTGATTTGCTGGGAGAAAACGAACAGGGACTTCCCGGAGAGCAGCCATCTCATCTGAGATCTCCAGGACTAGGGTCTCTTCAGGGCCGGCCAGCTTGGGAGAGGAAATACGGCATCAATCGATGATTGCACGGTGCGAGCAAGGACGAGACATGTTTCAGAAAGCTCCCATAACAGCGTACGTATTTGTCTGCAAAAGTATTCCAGTGGGTAACTAACTATGACTGAGGCTGCTTGCGGAACCGCTCAAGGCACGGAGATAATTTGCTTCTGACGTGATGCGGGCGAGATTTTGTCTCTTTTGCCCGCGAAACCTTCCACTGCTAACATGTAGTTCTTGATCTGAAAAACACAAGGTTAAAGCTATTTTATTATTTTATGCAGTTCTGTACTATATAGACATTTGCTCTCCTTCTAAATAAATTTCTTAAGTTTTCCATGTTCCTCTCAATTGACCGCCCTGTTCTGAAGGTCGATCGATGTCTTAAGTCACTATCAGCAAAGCTCAGTGTCTATTTAGCAAGGGTCTGGGATTTATATCCGATACTGCATCTCCCCCCCTTGGTTGTCTTCACCCAAAAGTGAACGGACGCCAACATCAAACTCGGAAGTAAGCCACCCTGAATGGCCCCGGCTGCTTATCACCCTGTTATACAAAATCCCATATAATCCTCAATCCTGCCTTCTGTCGCTTAACATCAGTACGAACAATTTAGCTGAGCTAGGCACTAGCATGTCTTTTGTCTCGTGTAGTACAGGACAGCACTTTCTGCCTCGCCTAAGTCCAGTATTTAGGCCAGATCAGGGCTGGAGCATGCTAAAGACCAAGGTAATCAGATCAACATTCAACTCCCCTCGCTCCTAGCTATGGGGACTCTCTTCTCCCTAATTCCTTGGAGTCCCTCAAAGAGGCAACTATAGATCTCTTCCGACATTATTGACTAGTGTATTGCATTGTACATACCTCTGCCCGAGAAGCGATATTTCCAACATCTTCACAGTGTGACAGGCTATTTAATTAGATGACCAGCAAGAGTATGGCTGTGTTTGCCGTTGGAAAGCAAGAGATACCCTGGGATTCTTGAGCCGATCACATAAAGACAAAGCAGTAAATCTTCAGCGTCTACGGGTTTCCTTCGCAATTCTCCTCGCTTCGAAGATCTGAATAGCGGGATACGGGAGAGGATTGTGTGCCCAAAAAATAATTTCCAGGATCTCGAGTGATTTGGAGATAGCAAAATGGCGGTTTTCTGAATGGACATAATCCACGCAGAGTTCTTGACCCGTAAGCTGAGAGCTCCACTCCTCCCCATTTTCCTGCCAGCTAACTCCGTTTGAGTCACAGGCCGCCAATAGAAGCACTGATTATCTTTGTAAATAGAACTTATCCGCAGTTGGCTTCACCATTTAACCTTGTGACTGACCCGAGAGTGTTCATCCTTGTTCGAATATGTTGGCTGAGTCTCAACACACTAAGAGATCCTTAGTGTGAGGCTCAAAGAGCTCTCGCAATGTCGGAATGGAATACGATGAGATGGGGCAGGAGCTTGTGAATTAGCCCTGAGGATCATGATATGATTGGTCCTCAGCCTCTACAAGACCGTTGTGGCTGAACAGAACCCAGAGGAAGAGCAAGGATACTGAACGCTTCTTCCTTCGCGTTGGTGAAGCCGGAACTATTCTCTTGTTAACCAAATTTAGAAAAGAATGCTATCTTTCATTGCCATGAAATCCTGTCCAACACCAAACAAGACGAGATCAAGGTGTGGCACACAACATATATCATCACTAGATAAAAGTCATTTGACCTTGCCCCACGAGGAACATGCAAGAACATCGGCAGAGTTTTATCTACCATTATTACATAGAAGAAACTAAAAGTCTTCAACAACTGGGTGGCCGCATCTGGATATTCATGGTTGCCCTACCTACCTCCAGTTTTCGGAAATTGCGAGATGAGAGCCGACGCGTGGTAACTCATAGTCACCATTCTGTTAGCTCTGCCTGGAGGGTTGCCTCTGAGAAATCAAGAGGGCCGGCCACCTTTTGAATAAATCAGGAGCAGATCCACGCTGTTATGTTCTAACAACAAGCAAGATCTTCCAATTGAAAGGGTTGACAAATACATCGTATCTTTGCCTTCGTACACAGGAAGCCAGCTTCCATTGTTGTTCGCCGCTAACACGTTCCACAAGATATTGCAAAACCAAAGCCACAGGTTGGCGAAGTTGGGAGTATTTCTTAAAAAGGAATGTATGCTTGTGCAGAGCTTTCGAGGATGTAAGAATGGGACGAGTTCATCACCAAGAGAAGCAGAGACGTAGAACCCGTGGTGGAAATGGGTAAGCGTAAAAGGGTGTGAAAGTAATTTGGAACCTTGTGGGGTTCCCGTCTTGGCATCAAACTCTAATTCAACTCTTCCATACGATACGCTGTACTCCCTACTCCCTAACTTGATTTGTCTGTTGTTTCAATATCGTTGTTAGTAACTATGTTAATCTAGCTGTCATGGAATTGCTATCAAATTTATTGTGAGTGTATGCGGGTACATAATTATACTAGTCCAAACTGAAGATGCTGGATGGGAGACATTCTCGTAATGGGCATCCACATATCTCGATATCTCTGTGCCAGGTAATTGGTTAAATTTAGTAGTCTTCAAGGTGTACTCCCGTTTGTTTTATGTTAAATATATATACTATCTATATTGAATTTAATAGGACGGATTTCAACTAGTTCCTCCAGTCTACATCTCTCTTCTGTATTGCACCGTTCTCTGTGCCGTCACAGAAATACTAGATCTGTGAACTCTTCATAATAAGTAGTAGTTGGAAACAGCTGGCAATGCAGCTATGGCGAGTCTTCCCCCACGTGCAGCATTGGCATAAGTGGAACGATGCACACGGAAGGATGGGTTGGGTTCACCACATACTCACAGTACCGGTGGAATTTAATCAGAGTGATCGAGTGTGAAACATTAGAATAATTATTATATCAGAAATGCCAGTATAAGGCCAGAAAAATGATGTGATGAAGGACAGTCAGAGAATATATGCCTCTTCCCTTGCCGTCTCTAGCCCACTCTACTGGAGCCTTTCCGCAAAGAGCCGACTCTGGGCCGAGTTTTGCTCCCAATACAGTACTTTCTCTTGGAGAAGATGCCATTGCCTTCCCGCTTTCCAGATCTTGCCGCATGTTAATTCCGTTTCTGGTCAAAATAATATCACCTAGGTTGATCAATTAATATTTACTAATGACATGTAACCCAACCCACTTTAACCCGCAACTATCCCACAGCTCTATTTTATCGATCCTTGGGCTACTAAGTTGCATTGATTCAAATAAAACATCACTGCCCTACCTAGGTGTAACAGATCATGGATCCTGTGATTTTCAATGCTCTTAGCGCAAAGCCATGATGCTATAAAGGCTAGAAACGCATCGACTTGAGAATGGATATTGTCTCTACAACATTGTCCTTGTATTGATTCCGTTTGGTCTTCCCTGCAGTTCCTATGGCATTGTTCAGGCAAAAGCCGGGATGACGGGCTTCTTACCCGCAATGAAGGGAATATACACGTCTGCAGTCCATTCACAAATAATGTACTTGGGCCCCGAGGAATTTTATTATACACAAGAGAGAAGGGCACGTTCTGCTGTGTTGTGTATGCGTATGAGACCCTGGGTAAGCACCCAAACTAATGGCAATTTCCGAGGCTGCTACCTACCTAAATGACACGCTAGAAAGTCAAAATTAGCCACCATGTAGCCTGATATTCTTTTGTACACCTTGAACGGCCTTGCTGTGAAAATATTCAAACTCCCAACGCCCAGCCAGATCTGTGGATGCTAGTACCTAGCGTACCGGCTGGTTCTTGGCTTGGATGTGAGGAGGGATTTGCGCACCTAGCCGCTTTGCTGGGGATGGCATACAAGTAGCCCCAGAGTAGTCGCCACTTCACAGATTGTCAGCCCAACTCCGGACAGGCGGGTGATCATAGACAGTCCTATGTTAAGGTGTGGTTAGAGATTATAGTTGTTTGAACAAACTTCGCGTAGTGAGTAAATCTCAATCAGCTTTTGGAAGATACTTTTGAAGGTTCGGGCCACACGGACCAGCCCCCGTACCCAGTTAATAATAGCAAAACGTGCCAACACCATCCAGGTGAATTGCAGGAGCGGTTGAATTCCTCCCTGTGTGCTTGGCCAATGAACGATGAGTTACCCGGCAGCTAGACGACCCCTGACGCAGGAGTAACAGTCCTTCTCCCACGGAACCAGATTCGGAAAACTGAGCGCGAGATGAAGACAATACCCTGCTTCTTTGAAATCGGTGATAAGCAATTGTTGCAGAAGAAGTGTCCCACAAACAAAAATAGCTTTCTGTTATGGCCTTATTGGATCAGATTCTCTAGAGTTTAGCCAGGTATCGGTGAAATCGAGCCGTACATCACAATTCTCAACAAGGAGACTTTCATGTCCGCCTTTCACAGAGCCAGCTGGTCAAGTAAAACTCAAAGCCCATGTTATTTCCGGGGTAGTAGTCGTAAACTTCAGCCTTAATGCTGTACAATATGTTACCTAAGTTTGTGCCATTTGCCGCCCCGGGAATGTAGGGCTTCCCTGCAGGATGAGCCATCGCCCTTTTACCTCATACCCCTGTGATCGGATTGGAGGCTCGCTATAATAAATTTTGCTGAAACTATTTCAACATAATAACTCATCCAGCAGGCATTCCTCACCAGATTGCTGGGTATGCAAGGACTAAACATGCAGAATGCGGGGAAGATGCTTCTAACCCAAATTCATCAACTGCTGTTCATCGATCGTTAAACCATGCTCTGCTTCTCAGCACTAGCTTAGCCAGATGATTTCAGTCCAACTTATCCAAAATCGGGTGCTACTTTAGAAAGGTTCAACTGCACCTTAAGAAATATGTTGCATTAATGCCAATGCAACAAAAGCTGGTAGGCTATTAGGTTGAAGCCGAACCTATATCCCTTGGATAAGAAATGATAGGTAAACCAGTTTCCTTTGTCGGTGCCACTGACCGACAAGTCTGTGTTTCAACAGCTCCTTAACAGGGCTCGTGCGGGGCATCGAGGCTTCAGCGACGGTGTCTCCACTGCTCATTCGGCCCATGAATTCTCATAGATGAGGATAGTAAACCTGTCAGGCGTGAAGTGGCCAGCTTTGCTGTACGTGCTAACAAGGGTAAACCATTTTAATGGTCTGACAAGACCCTTGGTGATGATACACCCCGTCAATGCAAATAAGCAGAATCCTGGTCCAATTGGGCAAATACAAGCTGACGGCAGCAAGGCAGTAAAGTAGAGCGCGAAAGATATGGAACAAGAATTAACTCATTATGCCCAAGTGACTTTTGGGGTCAGTTTCCTAAGAGAGAAAACAAATGGCTGAGGTTCCCTGTCAAGATAAATTAATGAGACACCAGTTGGTTAATACGCAGCGACTAGGGAAGAGGGGGAAGAGCTGAATATCATCATCCAGATAATAAGTAGTGCATGCTATCAATGGCTAGAGGAGCTCTTGAAATGTAAATGAATTACGATCGCCGCAAGGCGGTGATTACATGCTTCCAGTTAATGAAGAAGGGAGGTTTAAGGCTGGGAAAGCTTGATCAGTGACGGATCGGAATAAATATTTACCGGAAGCCCTAATGATCGAACATTGCTTAAGTCAACCATCAGGCAAGAGCCTCACAGTTCTTCCCGAGCATCTTCAAACATAGGAGCCACTTTTGCCCACTACAACAACCATTACCATGTTAACGCCTCTCAAGTTCCTATACTATAGGAATGGCAACGTATCATCGAGATACCCCTTGGACAGCTCTAGTGGTTGCTCTGGGGGTTTGAAGCTGCTCATCCTCGGTCAACCCCTCCCCGTGTGAAGCCGCTCGCATGGGGGGGCCTTAAAAGGCAGGGAGACTCCGGGATTCTGCAATTGACATCAACACTCATAACCTAAGCCCTAGCTGGCTAGATAGGCTTCCTTGCAAGAGCATGTGACAATAAATGCTCTCCCGTTTTCCGACTTTATTCACCGGAGTGCGCAGAGTCTCCCATGTTGGGAACGCGAACTAGAATATTTTGACAGTATGCGCATCGCGCGGCTCAGAAATGTGATAATTCAACGTTGACAGAACCAACTTGGCTGTGGGTTGGTGCTACCTGTTTAATATTTCTCTACATCTCCCACTATAGGCCCCTCATATACCTGTTTTAACGAAGAAAAACGCTGCCTGGAAAAAAAATACTCCCCTCGAGTCCTTAGACATCCCTGTCCTCTATGGATGTCTCCTTCATTGGCACGGGGATGCTCCTTGGTTAAGGATAGTTTGACTTGGTCTACATATGTGGCTTGAGTCGAGGAAAACTTTATATTTTTGTCTGTATTGCTGACGCCCGTATCTTGCATTCCACACTTGTTACTTGCGTTTCCAGTTCATCATATAAAGACGCATGTTTCCTCTCTTCATCCGACTCGTCTGGCTCTTGAAACTAAGACCAAATCCTCCGAAAATTGCAAAATAACTCTGGATCCCGATTTTCACATTCTCTCCCCACTTATACTCTGGCAATATGATGAAAGCTATCATCATTCTTAGCTTTGTAGCGCAGGTTTTCACTGCGGCTGTTAGCCGCGAGCCCGACTCCGGTGACGATACCAGCACCCGGCCCTTCCCCCTCCCCCCTCTCTCCCCTATCCAGGCGGAAGGTCCGGATCCAGACAAAGTATACATCGTTGGCCTTACGCATGGCGGAACGGGATGCCCCTCAAATTCCGTCAGCCATATCCTTTCAGATGACCGGACCGTCATGACACTTATTTTCGACGAATATGTAGTATCGATTGGCCCTGACGTTCCCATCACCGACAGCCGTAAGAACTGCTAGTTGAACATCAATCTGCGGTATCTAGGTGGCTTCCAATACTCGATATTCTTAACTGACTACCGAGGATATGCAAGGCTAGATAAGGGTGTTAGGGGTGTCCAAAAGAGTACCTACTACTTTTCTGGTCAGACTAAACAGGTATGATGTTTCCCTGTCCGGTCTATCATTTGTCTGAGAGATTATCCCTAAATCTGTTCTAGGCTTCCACCATGACAGAGTGGAACGGTCCAATGGATAAAGACTATCTTCTCCACGATGAGACAGACCATACCTCCATCGTCTGGTCTCCATGTGGTGCCAACGGAGCATTGAATATCAATTCCCAGATTCGCCTAACCAGCGGTAATCGGAACGCTCGTGGCGTGCTGACCACAGACTCCATTGATGCCAGTGTCAAGCAGATTGTCCATGTCAGGTGGCAGAAGTGCAAGCAAGCATAGTAGTTTGTAGCTTGGATTCATGCGACTTCGTTGCTAATCCGCACCGGGAGGCCGGCTGGAAATGGTCGTGGACAAGTATGATGTTGTTGATACTGCACGATTGGGAGAACGCCTGACGAAATGTATTGAAACTCTCGTTTCTAGTTTTTCTATCATGTATTTTTCTAGATGGAAGAGAAACCAAGTTGAAGATGATTAAATTGTTTGATCACATGCGGATCGATCTATACTATGTCATAATCTGAATGGCTACAATACAATATAACCGCATATATACTGTCGTTCGCGGACAATGACATTCCCACTCCCCCTGCCTTGTTCCGGGGAGACCGGTACATCTGTAGATCGCTTGGCATAAAGCTCACTAGCTCCCCGGGTTACACAACTACTACCAGTTGTCTTCACCAACCAGATCTAAATATAATAAAATGGACAATCCTTCCATTTATGGAACATCAATCTCAAACTGAGATGCTATTATCGGAGATGAAACAACAGTAAGTAAGCCCGGGTCCCGCTCCTTTTCCCTTTCAGTTTATTTATTTTGTATATTTATATTTTTTGGTTGGTTGGAATAAAGATGACGAAGGAAGTAAGCGGTAAGTTCATGTGTTACTACGTAAACTTCTGCAAGTATTCAACAGGACGCAAAACTGATCCCACAAACTACGCCGCAAAGAAAGTGAAAAGTCATTATAGAACCAACACCTAGAGCACGCAAATGGGTAATAAAGAATCTTGTGGATTTCTTCTCCTTTTTCTTTGCTATATGCATTACCGAATCGATTAAAGTCGTAGCACACCATGCACGTAGTCGGTGCAGCTGCTGAGATAAAACTTTTTCTTTTCCCCGGTCCTGTGATAGGTGGAGTGGTTTGGTAACGCTGGTTCCGCCAACGTAGGCCCGAAGCCAGGGGGGAAAACACATTCCAACACCGCCACCAACTCCAATGCCCATCCCCATATCCACCATCGCCCACTGCTCATCGCCCCATTTAACGGTATCTCCAGTAGCTCTGGGTATTGAGGCGTTTCCAGGTCTTCCGTCTGCCGGCGGTGGTCTTGGTGTAGCTGTGACCCCGTCCAAGGCCACGGGATTTCTTGCCAGCGGCGGTCAAGCCACGGTTTTCGCGGTGCTAGTAGGGGAAAGATGTTAGAACTTTATCTTCTACCGACCGGCATGGTTCTTTTGAGTCCCGTGTAAAAATTATAGTAAAACGTACCTTGTGCACCGGTTTCACGATCCAGTTGATGCGAGGATCGCGGCGGATGGCTTTGTGCTGGGGATCGACGAGGATGACCTCGAAGTACTTATAGGTGGAATCCTCGTTGATCCAGTAGGAGTTGAGGACACGCAAGTTGGCGCAGCGTCTGCCAACACGCTCTTCGGCAGTGCATCTCAGCGAACGCTGGTATTTGAGCTGGTTGACACCATGGTTGGTGGGCTTGCCTATTTGATTTTACAAGTTCTCGGGTTAGAAATGGTGCATTTTTCTTCAATTGGGCAACTTTCATTATTGGACTGCGGAATGAAAGATAAACCACCTACCGTAGGTGGCGCCCTTGGGGGCTTGCCGCTTGCGTCCTCCACGTCGGACACGGACACGGTAGATAACGTAGCCCTGCTTGGCCTTGTAGCCGAGACGGCGGGCCTTGTCGGGGCGTGAGGGGCGGGAAGCACGATGGATAACGTTGAGTTGACGAAGCTATATTGATGCACTCTCAGCAAAGTTCAACGAGTGTATAGCAAGACACAAAAAAATTTCTTTCATGTGCCACAGTTATGAATGATCTCTCGCCGGAGGATGGATTGGGTTTGGACGCATTCAGATCCAATTCCAATTGATGGTTTTGTTTCTTGTCTTTCCCGGCGAGGATTTCATCTTGGACATTCGAGGGGTCTCACCTCCCAGCATCGGACACGCAACAGGAAGCGGATCACATCGGACTGCTTCTTCTTCTGAAGCTCCTCCACGTATTTAAGAGCACCCATCTGTACGAGACAATTGTGAGCTTCTCGGACAATGAGGTAGGTTATTTCAATGACAGCAGGATTTCAGCATCTGAGCAAGTATGCGAATCAGAAATCACGTACCTTGTCGTCGTGGAATCGTTGCTGGTGGTTGTCGTGGTCGTTGTCGGGTTCGTCAACGCAGCAATCGGTCGATACAATCTTCCCTTAGCCTTGCAAATGTGTGAGGCGCTAGCGGAATTAAGCGAGCCGAAGGGAGCAAGCGGTCTTGGCATTAAATCACGTGTAAATTTGGCGATTAGTCATCTGGTACGTCGGTCTTTGGCATCTCAGAAGATGAAATCTACAAGTGCAAAATGTCTCATTTACTCGCCAGAGATCAAGAAGCGAGAGGACTCTGATTCAATTATCAATCTATCCCATGCTCCCGTAACTTACTTCATGAACAAATAAGCTAACTAACAATAATAATCCCATCAAATATTAATACCTCAGCAAACCTTTACCCCCTTATTTTCTATCAACAGGCAGCGCCTTGGTAAGTGCCTTCATCCCCTTCACCATCTGGTGCGCCATCCTCCCCCACCCATACGGTTCCTTTTTCTGCAAAGAAGCATCTTTCTCCTTCCCAATCTTCAACATGTCCTGAAGATGCTGCTCATCTTTCTCAAAGGTTTTCGCCTTGGCTCTCCTCTCACCTTTTTTCCCCCTGGGTGCGGGTTCCCCTTTAGCATCCCTCTTCCTGGCATCATCTTTGCGGGCCAAAAGTCTGTCGATCTCAGCTTGAGACGCTTCCGCGCCAATGGCGATTACTCGACGAGTCTCTGCGCAATCCCGTTCCCACGTTTCTGCAGGGTCCGGGGGAACTTCGAGGTTGGAGATGTATGCCGTGAAATCGTCGCATTCCTGAACCAGTGATCTGGTGCACTGAAGCAGTTCTTGGCTTCTGTTATACAATGGATGTTTGTCAGATGATACATCTTCAAGGTCGAGTTTCTGAACGACCGCTGTGGACCCGGACGCTGATGCCGAGGACTTCGTCCCGGAGGGAGCTAGAGCGGTGCCAATTAGGGCAATTATGCTGGCGTGAAACTTTTCAGATTCAGATTCCCTTGAGCCGCAAATAACGGTTAGAACCCAGTTTTAGCAAGGGAATGGAAACTGAATTGCAAAGGAGGGCGAAGGAAATCCTTCAAAACAGAACTAGAGAGAAGAAAGCGGGAAAATGGTATTTGAAACATAATTATGGGTTTCAAAAACAAACCTCTCCCTCATTACCGCCTCTACTAGCCCCACAAGCCTCATCTCCTCCTCACCAATGCACTTCTCGAACTCTTTAGCGTAATTGTCTCTCTTCTCAGTCCGCACCATTGCCGCCTGCAGGTCCCTCAAAGCTTTCCTATGACCTCAGTTAACATTGAGTCCAATCAAGAATAGGGAGCTACTTAACCCAGATATATAAAACCCCCTCTATATAGCGTATACAGATATCTCACCTAGTCAGCTCCACTTCCTCGTCGTCCTCCTCCTCTTCATCCTCACCATCATTCTCAGTCGCACCTAGGTTCACATCCTCATTCACAAGTCCATCGTCAGACTGGTCGTCATCACCCGCATATTCTGAATTTTCTTCACGTTCTCCCATGGATGAACGCGTATTTATCCTCTTCCCTCGAGCCCCAGCCCCAACCCGCATCCGCTTGCTCTTCTCCTGACCTGCCGCCGCGCTCGCTGAAGCTGCTACTGCTGTTTTTAATGGTTAAATTGTACTTCCACGGCAATGACACATTGTTGATGAAAGGGAGGCGAGCAGATGATGGTATAGGAGAATGAGGTCAATCAGGGGAACTAGAGGTGAGGTCGTTAGCTCACCAGCTCTCTTTCTACCACGCGGCATTTGCCCAACGCACGAGGTTGATACTGGGGCAATCCGGCGTCTTCGCACCCCTCTTGGATGCAATTACAAAACCTAATGGAGTTTAATGAATTGATGTGTCACAGATTAAACGGTGGAGATGCAAGATGTTGGTGATCAGATAGAATAACCCAGGCAGGATGCACTGAACCACTACCCCCATATACATGTGTGGTTTAAGGGGCTGGGTCATGTGATACTCAGGCTTCCAGAAACATCAGAGCGTATATATAGATGGGAGACGGAGACCAGGAGAGGATCGAACAAGAAATACTAATATATTGATCAATAAGCCTATACCTAATATTCCTGATACTACAGTTTCATTTCCACCAGTCTTAAAAATAAATCTTGATTTGTTTCCTTCGTCTTGGGCTTCTCTTTTCTGTCTGTGCTCTGTCTCTATACTTACTACTCAACCATGGATACGTGTACTCCCGCCATCAATCAATTCGAAAAAAAGTAAGAAGGCATCAATATTCATATAACAAGGGGGAAAGAAATATATGAGCGATGTTTCTGAGCAATTTGAAAGGGAAAATATAAGTAAGAAAATATTAAATTCATATGAGCTTCTCAAGTTATATCGCAAAGCAAGAAGAGAAGTAGAGAGAAGAAAGGAAAAAGGAAATCGTAAGATGGAAAAATTTCTTCTGTATAACTAGTTAATGAAAGAAAGTTAGGTGACCGATCTGAAATATATAGTAAACGAAGAACCAGTCAAATTATATCCGAGCTCCCAACACGCACCGATTTCCCAAGTTCCGGAAAACATGATTGCAAAAAACAAAATACAAAATAAACTTAAGAAAACTTCTCTTGTCTCTTTCACTCCAGAATGCACCAGATAAAAACACAACAAAACAATAATAAATGCAACAACCTATTTAACGCAACGAAGACATCAAGTAGACGAGGGAAAAAAGGAAATGAAACACAAAACTGAGAAGAGGAGAATATGGAATATAGCAGAACGCGGGGGAAAATATTAGAATAAGCAAAAGTCTGGCAGAAAAACTTTATATCAACTTGGAAAAGGTAGAGAAGAGAGGAGGATAGGAAGAAAGGAGATTGTGCATAAGGTTTTTACAGGTACGGAAAAAAAAAAAAAAAAAACACAAATATAGTTGTTACATGAAGAAAGAGTAGGTAGGTGGGAAGTGTAGTGCGTGCCCGCTGTTTGATTTGTAGTGGGCACATCCCCGCGAAACAGAGGTTGGGAACTTGTTTGGAGGTGATAGGGGTAGTGGAGTTAGGCCGACCGGAATCATCAGTGGGGGCCAGAATGGCTCCGTCCTCCGGACCGTCATGTATCTCGAGTGAGACAGGGGGGACGTCGTGTGTAGAGGATATGGTAAAAAGAGGGGGGAAAAGGAATCAAACGTGGAGAAAGAGAAATGAATAGAAGACGATACAAACAAATTACATGAATAGATAAAAAGAAGAAAACACAGATCAAAAGTCCTCCCTGTCCAGCATAAACTAATTTCCCAAATTCCCAATTAGTACCAATATTCTCCAATATCCACTCTTATAATCTTTCGTTTCTCGCGCACCGATCCTCTTGTGTATTTTTCTCGATGTAGCCCATCCGATAAAAAGAAGGGGTGGGGGTGAAGGAAAATTTGAAATCTTTTTTAGTCTCTCAACGTTAATAAAGGGGGAAGTAAAAAAAGAGAGAAAGCGTGAAAAAAAAAAGTACTATAAGTAGAAAAGAGAAAGAATTGTAGATAGAAATGAAAGAAAATATAAACAAGACCAAAGCTGGGTAACGAGTTGAGAAAAGTTCAGAGAACTAGGGGCAAAGGAGGAGGGTAGGTAATCTTCGGGTGGTTTGAAGTAGCGATTTTGGTATCCTGATAAACATCCTTCCTTCTTACCCGCTCGTCGTAAACTCTCGTGAAAATCTGTATATGGCCCTTCCTTATAACGCTAAGAAAGTGGGAACAAGAAACGGGACAAATTATAAACAAAAATGAAGCAAAAAAGAAAAAGGAAAGCAAAAAAACAAAATCACAATTTGAAAAAAAGAGAGAAAGCACTACAAAGACAATTGCCAAAGTCAAATCAAGCATGACCAACTCGTTCATAAAACCAAAGAAGTGCGGTGGAACTCCCGGCGCAAAAGAAAATATGACGATTCTCGGAGCAACAATCATCACAAAATGGGATGAGGCATCATTCGTGAGTTCGGGGGGTAGTTAGTCTATTTAAGAAACAAACTTTCCTGAGAAATGTTTGTGTGGGGAGGGATGGGAGTGATTCGCTGCAAGCGGGAATAAAAAAAGGAAATCATCATCATCCTAGATATCTCGGTTTGGCGTATGAAAAATCTAGTACGGAGTTCAAAACGCAAAACGGATAACTCCGGCTTTAAAAATCAGAACAAGCCAGTCGGGAGCGGAAAAATGAGAATAAAAATCGATTTGGCGACTGAAACGATTGGGGGGTATTGGATTGGATTGGATTGTAGTTTAATGGAGAATGATACCGTGATCCGGATGAGACCTTTTCCAGAGAAAGCGAATGCAATATAAGATGCCATATAGAAACAAAGCGTCCGAGTATGCAAAAAAAACTATATTCAAGAACCGAGTGAAAGACCTTGGAAGCGGTTTGCCCATTCGCCGTGGGTGGGATGTGCTTGGCGGCCTGCAGGGCCCAACCCAGCTGCGTTATGAAGGTCAGATAAATTCGGCTCCCCCGTCCCGTAGCTAGATGGCTGGAAAGAAGCAAATGGATCTGTCTGGGGCTGCACGCCCTGTGAAAATCCAGACATTCCCGGATCATGCTGTCTGCCGCTGGCAAATGCCTGGTAAGGGTCCATATACTGGCTTCGGAAGCTTCCTGTGATATCTCTGGCAGCTGCGTCTGAAAACCCTCCCGCGGAAGCCACTACTCCCTGACCAGCACTGGGGACAAAAGGCTTGAAGTCATGGGGTCGACGTCGATCTGGATGGCCTTCTTGAGTGAACCCTAGACTACTAGGGGGCTGAAGTCCAGCTGTAGGCGTAACAAACGATGCTGGGTTAATAGCTGACATCCAGATTCTAGTCTTGTAGATCTTAAATAGATCCGTGACAAGAGAGTTGAAATTGATGTAAGTGTCAGCGAAATAATAGAAGGTGAGCTTCTTCCAGTCCCTGTATAAACAATGTGGTCAGTTAACTGGGGCTTTCTTTTGGTATCAAGGCATCGTCCTCGAAGGAGTGTCTATAAAGTAAACATACATTTGGAATTCAGCGTCGAGGATTTCCATATTTAGCCGATGCTCGGCTACTTTCTGCTGGCAAACACGCTTAGCTTTAGCTTCGCTCCCTTCCTTGTCGCGGAGGGTCTGGATTTCGTGGCTTTGAGCAAGCCGCTTGATCAGCTTCGGCTTAATATCTCCGCCTTGAGACTCTTGCATTCCGTGCTGGGTCTGTGGTCCCATACCACCCACGGCACTGCCAGGGGCTCCATTCAAGTTGGAAGAGGTACTGTTTGGATTCACGGCATTCGGAAGACCAGACTGGCTCTGGCGGGAGAATATCATAAGCCACTTGTAATGCTCCTCTGCATAGTGTTCTTTCAGTTCGCGAGCTCTCGCCCAGGTGACGTTTGCATGAGCAACCGTGCCAAGGTCAGTGCCCCGATCTGCTTCAACAATTACAAGATCGCCAGTTTTAACCTGCAGTCCAGTATCCTCCTGGATATAGAAAACGTCAGCCCTGCCACACTTGAATGTGACAATGAAAAGCTGTTGGTTCTGGTGGGCGTGGCCCAAATTCGAGTGTTGACGACCAAATGCGTTGGGCATAACATATGCTTGGTGGAGCGACGTAGAGATCCCAGAGGCAGGGATATTATCGGAGACACGGACAGGCTTATCGTGTCCAGTGAAGTAGGAAGCTGCTTGTAATCGAGCTTGTAAACATTGTTGTTCTATTGCATGTCCTGAATAACGATCATTCGAAAGAAATTGAAAATACTCACGGCTACTATCCGCAGGAGAAACACTAACTCCATTGGCAAAATTGGCAAAATTATCGTCTCGGTTACCCATCGAAGCAGCTGAGCCAATAGCGGGTGGGTGGGAATCAGCAGGGGAGCCAGTAGACCGGTGTCTCATGGGGATATCAGCGAAAGAATGGCGACGACTCTGAGGTCCTTCCGGTGCGCTACCAAAGCCAAGGGAAGTTTGCCAGTGGGCCTTTTTAACGTTCTCAAGAGTACGATTCTCCAAGGAACTAAAGGCCGGGAATTGCTTTTCAAGGTTAGTTGAATGTTCACTGAGCCTTCTCCAACCATTGCTCCTTGCATTGTTATAACCAGGAGCAATCCCTCCCAGTTCATCCAGATCTTCGACTGCCAAATCGCCCTCCTCTGGAACACTTCCAGGGAGCCGGTGCGGGTTGTGGCTCTGAGCGATAGAGAACCCACTTGTTGCAGAGGTAGAAGACATCGCACGATCGCGGAAGCGAGAATTGTCAAGTTGTCCGGATGCAGCTTGACGCAAAAGGGCGTTTTCCAATGAAAGTTGCTCAATCCGACGCGCTTGGTTCATAGAAGACCAGTTATATCCACCGTCAGCGCCCTCGGCGTTGTCATCGCCTTCGTCTTCACGAACACGGCCAAGGGTAGCCGTGTCATGGCCTAGGTCTCCAAGCATACTTGGTCTAGAAGAGCGGCGCTGGATTGAAGATAATGGCGCAGCAGTCCCTCTGCGTGTTGCTGGGGCACCGGCGGCGCCGTTATTAGGGGACAAAGCCTCTTGCTGGTCCGTATCTAGCTGGCCAACAGAATATGACTGGGAGCGATATGTCTTCAGGGTAGGCTGAAGAGGGATCGAAAATGGAATGTTGGAGTCCCCAGATATTGTTCTTGCTAGTGGGCTAAGAATATCATCACCACTATTGGCAGTTGATGCAGATGGCATAATACTAGAAGTGGGTGACTGAAGAACTTCTGTCAATCTCGACGGAGGGTCTTTGCGGGCCTCTTGGTTCCAGATCGACGACCACGCGAAGGACCCAGTCCCAGCTGATCCCCAGTTAAGTGGGGCATTAAGCCCGGGACTAGTGGCACCTCCCCATGTGGTTTGGTCGGCAGCGGAGGTTGTAGAGTTAGAAGGTGCCGATGAAAAAGAGGAGCTTGTTGGTAAAGAGGCTTTCCGAGCTAGCGGGTTCGGGTCGTTGAGCCATGATGTGCGCCGCGTGGGCTTAACTACGGGAGCAGCTGGGGTTTGGCCATGATGGTGCTCTTCATCCTCCGAAGAAGCCAAAGCCTCGGAATCCGGAGTTGATCTTCGAACGCCAGGACGAGTTTTCTCAAGCAGGATTGAAGCGTTATTGCCAGGAGGTGGGTATGTGGGATGCGGGCTTTTTGCTGCAGGGGTCGTACTTTTGCTAGACGTGCTCCTGCTTGACGAAGCCATGGTTGCGATGACTTCAGAGAATCAAGGCAGAAGTTCAGGCGGAGAATATGGGGAAGAACGTTATTCTCTGGAGACCTCGACTGGCGGTTGAAGCAAACCTATGTTCTATACAGCTTTAATTAGAGCGTTAGCAAAGTGACAGCGGTATGGGAATTGTAAAAGATTATTTAGAGGGACGACTTGTGGCGTCAAGGAGACTTTTGAGTAATGGTGATGGAAGTTCATGAGCTGCGAACCCCCGCTGCCCGTGAATCCAGATCGACAAAATTCACAAGGTGTATGCTGAGCTGGAAGCGAAAGCACAAAACACTTACAACTTGTCAACTAATAAGTAGCCTGTAGTCTCAGCTCTTTCGCTGCTGAGCAGACTCTGAAGTGATAATGCGTTGATCACGCAATCAAGAACCTTAGATGCGCAGAGGCAGGCACATCCGCCCAGCGTCGCCTGATTTATCGCGTAGTGTTGTTATCGCAGAGAACAAATGAGGTGAATGGCTGGTGGCCAGTAGATAGATCAAACACACAGGGAATGAGAGCTCTAAAATCGTGAGGAGAAGAGTCAGCCATCACATTCACATTAATAGGTCGTCCCCATAAAAGAATCACAAGGCTGCCATCGGTAGTTAAAAGAAAAGCCTCAAGGTTCAAGGTGAAATCCCCCGCTAGAGTCGACTGAGTTAGCAAGGTGAACGATTCGAGAGGAAATCCATACGATCGGACAATTGAATATCCAAGCAATTAAATAAGGATATTCTCATTGTATGGCGCGCAGTGGGCCGGAGGGCGGGGAACAATAACCAACATCGTGCAAGTGGTGGCGAATCAAATTTCTCCCACCCGTGATTGGAGGTCACAGCCGGGCCTCTAAACGGGAATTGATAAACGTTTTCGAAAATGCCATAAAACACATCTCCACGCTAGGACCCTCTGTATAGGCGGGCGAATTTCCGAATGACGTAGTCCATAGAAATATGGGCTATGTTTTTTAAGCCTTTCTGATGGAGCAAACAGGCGGGGCAGCCAGCAACAAAGCGCGATTCCGGCGGATCCGTCGTGGGGCAAAAGGGGGCTTCATATATATCCGATAGCTAGAAAAGCGAAAGGAACAAGAGCTTACCGTTAAACAAAGTAGTCCTCAGCTATGCGACAGTCGAAAGAGAGCGGAAAAAGGAAAGGAGAGGTATCGCAGGAGGGGCTGGTTCTTGGATGCAGTCGCGTAACAATAATCTATATGAATCTATCAACGGTTAGCTCCTTTGCGTGATAATTTTAGACAAGCACCATTGACTAGAGGAGGAAAACAAGAGAAAGAAGCATAGTGCCGTCATACTCACTACTCTAGGGTATTTTTTTTTGACTCTGGCTCCGTTTATTATTGTGGGCGACTGCACGGGAGGAGAAGAGAGTGAAAAAAAAAATTGAAAAAAAGTTAAGGGAAGGACAAGGAAAAAGAGACTAAAATAAAACGGCGAAGAGGTATGCAGCAATCAATCAATCAATCAATTCCCTCACCAAACAAATATGTCAAAACCAAGTTGAAGCGGCCAGGCTTCAGGGCGTCGGGAGGTAAATATGCTGGATTTGTGGCCAGACGAGGTTCGAGTGGCGATACTGGGAAGAGATTACGCCTAGGATGAGCGCAGAGAGAGATGGAAAACCAACGTTCTTCCTACTGGTGACAGGGTTATATTTTGTATTTTAATTCGTCCGTTTTTTTTTTTATTCTTCTTTTTTTGGCGTCCTTGAACACAGCCAATGTGAACTCTTTGGCGTAATCCTTTCGTTTGTAGTTCCTGAGTATGTCTGCGTCTATGCGCAGGTTGTGTTGTAGGCGGAGGTCGTGAGCGGTCGGATAACAAGGAGGGAGGAGCAAAGCTTCCGCTTCCGCTTCTGGTGGGGAGATCAACGGATTGCGATGTGGGCTTGCGGGAAGTCCAGTGGGATGGATGTGTTGATATGGAGGATGTACAGTAGGTCTATGGTATCAGGAGTATAATCTGCCGCCAACAAGCCATTAAACGGACATTAGGCGAGATGCATCCTCGAGATCGAATGCTAGCAGCGCTGGGGCGATATATCGGTCGCAAAACAATTGATGACGATGGAGGAGGGGAGTCGGGAGCATTTGGGGGGGGAGGAAGAAGTGCCCGGTGGCGGGACTCTGGGGCAAAGAGAGGGAGGGTTCAAGGCAAAGCGAACCTTGGGAAAGTTTTGGATAGAGTCCACCGTAAGTCCGTGACCAGTCAAGATGACAGTTGGTTTTGTTTGGTGGAAGTCTGGTAGAAATAAAAGCAAGCTATCCTTTATTTACCTCGTCTGTACGGATTGTAGTGTGCGGAGAAAGGAGAAAGCTGGCGATGGGACTGGACGGAGACTGGATGGAGCCTGGAGGGTGGATGGGGGCGGGCTAAAAGGGCCTGGAAACCGGCGCAGAAAGTGGCTAAAGCAACGCCGTAGCAGTGATCTGGAAAGCAGTTTGTGTTTGATAGGAGAACTCAGAAAAGAAGGCCCTCGAAGGCTAAAACAAAAGAATATTAGGTTGAGTTGAGTTGCTGGAGAAGAGAGTTTGAGTTAGAGACGGTTTAGGCAGCTGTTCGCGTTTGAGCGAGCTGTCATGGCCAAACTAGCTACGGGATTCTACTTCTAGTGGGACATTGTTGTTGGGAGAATAACTACATATCGTCTAGATAAACGGTCCAACTGTTTCTGAAGGAATCGATATCGCCGGAAATACAGTCCACAGACCCTTTCAGAGGAGCTATTCTTGCTTAGTTCCTGTCAGGCTAGCAGGGAGTTGGGCCGCCAGAAGGGGCTCGCTCCCTGTTTTCTCCCGCTCTTCCGTCTATCATCAACACCCATGCACACTTCACTTAACAGGCAAAGGAGAATATATATATATATATAACTATCCCAGTTTGACTAAGCACCTTACGTTAGAAGATTGCTCTTGAGAGACGGTGGAGTCTCTGGCTGTGAGCCCTTTTAGGTCAGTACAGGTATATCAGTGCCTCCCTACCTGTGCCTGTACCTTGTACCTATACTTTCCAGCATCCAGACCAGAAGGCTCAGGGTTCGTCTCAACGGTCGCAAGGATTGACTGGATGTCAGCGTTGTTGAATAATAATAAATTATTTACACGCTGACTTTCCTCGCGTCTTGTTCTCTCAAGTTACGGAGAGAGAGGAGGGAAGGGAGCCACCAAAAACCAAACAAACAGCAACAAAATGAAGAGCCTCTTGGCAACTTACACACGAAAAGCAAGCACAAAAGTCGAGTCAAGCGGGAACGGCTCGGGGGATGGATGGATTGCGAAGAAATGCGGAGAAAAAGAGTTAAAAACAGGCATGATTTGAATTCAACCCAGCCCTTCACCCATCTCTCTCAAAGAGCCATCCATCGCAAGTTCGAAACAAGGCGATAACATCCCCCTATAATTGAGTTTCTCTGCGTCTACTCCGTAATCCGTATTGCTCTGCTATTGGGCGGACAACCGTTCTCCCGTAGGCTTTCTTTTAAAACCATGTGCATGTCTCCGCACTGGCGGGCGATGGAGAAGCAAAACGGATGGAACAAGCGGACCCTCCTTCGCTAGCCCCTCCATCATTCATGTGTCTAGACGCAACAACCTATAGTTAATAATATTAAATATTCTATGCAATAACATAGTATGCAAGCAGGCGGTGGGACGGGCAAGCAGTCATTTCGGCTTGGGGTGGGAGGGATTTTGTCTTGCCGAGTATCTAGGCGTTTATCCTGGCTACTTAGCAAGCCGGATATAGCTGTCGAGGAAAGGAATTAAAAGTAAACGGCTGAAGATGTATGGCAAGCATGTACACACACACACACACACACACACACCACAAGGAGAGAGCTGTTCAATTATTTCCCCCGCAAATGATATCAGACCTTGGCTCAATCATGATAGTTTGGAGGATCAACTTCCGTCCTCAGAGCCCCGCAAATCGTAAAAGTCGCGCAGAGTGAGTTCCGGGCATCTTGATTGGCAACCCAGTATCCAGTCGAAAAAGCACTGCAAAAAGGGCAGCTGTAGAGATATAATCTCTTAGCAGCAGCTCGAGATCTCTAACTCATCCTTGGGCCTTGGGACAGACAGCTTTAACCACGGTAAAAAAGCAACCTTAAACCTGGAATCTCTTCCAAGCAAGTACGAGCCGAGTATGACGTTTTCAACAGACCATCTGTCAATTTTGACATCCAGCCTTTTTTTCCCTCCTTAGATCTTGTCAGGCTGCTTGCGAACAGGTACCAAAGCATCAACCAAACCCACCAGCCTCATCCTGGGCATTTATTATTAGCTTGTAAATGTAAGTAGTAGTTTACTCTGTGCAGTACGGAGTAGTAGGAAATGCATGAATGTACAAGGATGCAAAGATGACCTCGACCCCAAGAGGCATGTTCGGCCCAATAACGAGCCCATGCGACGATTGACCAGTAAGCTGTGGCGGAACTGCATGGGACGAGCGGGGAAGGGCAAGGGATGGGAATATGAATGGTTGTGTGGGCAGCTAGCTCCTCGTCTCGCGCCAGCCCAGCCCATCCCATCGCATCCCAGATTTATGGGATAGAGTCGTCTCCTTGCGGCCAGCTCAGAGCGGTCGTGGGGGGCGGCGGTGGCGGCCGCTTGGCTTGATCGGCATACGCTCGAAAACTTCGGCGTTTAAGAGGGCTTGTTTAACTAAACTTATAGGCGGTATAGGCGTCCGTGTTCCCTAAAGCACCAAGCACTGTTACCCCATAATTACTCATAATTACTAGCGTCGCTAAACTTCGACGAAGCCAGTAAGTCCATGCAGCTAGGCCATATCACAACCACCCCCCCCCCTGCGACGACTACCTACGCTGTAGCGGACACTACAGCTACAAGCAGCAGCAACACATGGCAAAACATACACAGGAAGGGGGGGAAGATACAAAATACAAAAGAATGGAGTAGAAAACCAAGATATGTATGTAATAACAGACGGACCCAAGATGAAGGTATGAATGATCCTCGAAGCTCCGAGTCCCAGGGCTTCCTTCTTCCCTCTTCCTCCATGGCCTCCAGTCTGACTGAATGGACAGGTAAATTGACCTCTCCTGGGGTTTTATGGAACCCTGGCCAAGTCAAAAGCCCACTTATTATACTACTCACTCACTCGTCCGCCCAACCCGTTTGGATGCGTGAGGGTTTTCAAGGCGTCGATGTGCTGCCACCAAGCCCTACGCTGTAACTACTACCACTTCGGAAAATTATACTTGAGATTGCTTCGAATAATCCTACGGAATAGTATTTCGGCCTTTACCTACCTGAAGTTCATCCGCTGCTTTGTAGGGGCACCGGTACTGAAGTTCATTAAATGAGGACGACCATGCTCCAGAGAAGAGAAAAGAGACCATGCAGTCGTCTCTACATTTACAGCCCACTTTCAGCGAAGAAAAAAGACGAATGAATAACCTACAAAATTGGATGAAACTAACATCAAAAAATCTAGATTTCTTGTGAAAGTTTTTAGCTCATCACCCCTAGCACTAACAAATAAAATCCTCCGCCAATCATTTGCACAAAAGCAAAGGATGAGCGCAGGGTGGAAAACAAAAAGCCAATAATAAATAATGTTCAATATGTGAGAACGAACAAAGATAAACTAGTTAGCTAAACCACGTTTACGACCTATCAAGAGACAGGAAAAGAAATTCAGAAGAAACTCATCAAGAAGTAGGGGGAAAATATCAAATCTCCTGCACCCCGCATCTCCGTCTTATGCCAAAATAGGGCCAATTCCAGGACTTCCCAATGGTTGATCAATAACTAACTACTGAGCCAGAGCTATTCCTCGATCTCCCATTTTCTCCCATGCACACTACTACGTTCTTCGCCTTCAAAAAGGCGCAAGCCAGCAGACAAGGCCGGGTTCCCCTTGCATTCCTCTTGCTTTGTGATAGGCCCTAATGCTGCAGCGCATGCTCTTGAGGAACGTCGGCGGGCTAGCCAGATGGCCCCCCGGAGGGGGTTGTGGGTTATAGTTGTGCTCCTCTATTATATATGAATCTATGATACACGCTATCGAGGGCGTACCCCCGGTTCATGGAATCATCGCTCGCCCCCCTCATCCCCTCATCTCTCGCTTGACTTTTGTTGCACTTTGCCTGGGATGATTCCGGGGACGGAAACTTCGATTGGACTCGGTCTTCTTTGCGGTGATATTTTTACTTTTCCTTATTTTGTTTATCTTCTTTCTTCTCCTTGCATCCCTTGCCGGTAGCTGAGAGAGGAAAGGAAGAGTGAAAAGAAAATAAGTCGCTACGTAGCTCCTTGAACAGGGCCAACAACGAAACGAAACGACTTTGCATCCCGCTGGCACCCCATGCAGAAGATGACATCCATACAAGGCAAAAGGGTAAAGAGTGACGATAAACAAAACCTTAGAAAAAAATTTCCGTCAATTCATGTCCAGGACGCGCAACCGCTTGCGCAACAGTAGTAAAAAGAAGAAAGCAAGAAAAAAAACTGCCACATATTTAACTAACTAGCTTTCAGGGATTCAGTTCACCATGAATATCTTCTCAAGGTTAAGTTACCGCCGTGTCCTCCTTCTGTCTGCCACCCCCATCGGTATCAAAAACACCGGAGTAAACACCGGCAACGAAGCGATCCCCGTTAAATCTTCTTCCTAACCTCGAACTCTCGTGTAAGCTTTGGCTACCTGAGTCAACCCCCCCGCCATCGGCAGCTCGGCACTGGGTCTTAAGTCATGATGGGTCTCGGCGGGTCCGCCATGCTCCTGCTCCTGCTGACATCCCGCTCCGCTTCCGCCACCGCCGCTGCTGCCGGACGACCTACTATTCTGTAGGAAGTTTCGATCACTTTTGTCTCAAGATTTGTCTCTTCCTGCAAGCCTGATTCGTCGATAAGCTGGCCATTTTCTCTTTCTTTCTCGTCGCTTTGCTGGTTCTTCTTCTTTTTTCTTTTTTTTTTCTTTTTTATGTATGTTTTCCTTTTTTCAAGTTCGCTTTTGTTTGCCATACCGCGCTATACGTAACGGGCAGGATTTTTTTTTTTTTTTTCAACTGCATTTTTTGCAAGGAAATGATTTAAAGCGTGTTGTTCCATGCTTTCGTGTGCCCCGGCGGGTATCTTTGCGTTCGTTGTTCCAGGATTATAGAGGTTGTTACTTTTATACCGTTTTTCATCTTTCTTTTCAGTCCAGTGGAGAGGGGCGCTTCAGTGGAGGAAGCCGCGGCGGCGGAACTAGGCCGGAAAGGAGTTGTGCATGGTTCTCGACGTTATTCCGCGGGGCAAGGTGATGAGAATACGTGCTGGCATATAGACTATATATCTAACTAACTACATATACAATGGGCTCTCAATGAGGGACCATCATCTTTTGACTGCTGATGCTGGTGTTTGTCTCGTCGTCGTTTGTCTAATCATCATGATACAGTATGACCCCCTTTCCAAGATTCTTTTTGAATTCTGTTTTCATGGGCATGTTTCACAGAAAGAATGCCCCAGCAAAGTATTGTGTCTGCTGGAACTCTTGCGCTGTTCCATTATTATGAAGTAGCTTCTCTAGCTTTGAACGGTACATGTTATTTATTTACGAACAAAACATGCATATTGAGCCGGATAGAGATGCCCCATCCAACTACAAGCCAAAACGCCTCTATTGATACCTATGGAATGAGTCAAGCCATCGCCATCTCAGAATGTAGCATCTTCCGGATAGATTGGCAGATAATACATACATACAGCACAGAAAGCCGACTATCTTTGGGGGGGAGGGGAGAGGGATGAGCTGCGAATGAATGAATCAATACCGCTCGCATCCCACCTCTTCATTCTCAAGTGATATTAAAGAACAAGGCTTGTGTGTTTGGTAAAGGCCCCAGTTCAGTGGGCAAGCTTAGAGCGCCAGTTGGTAGCATATTGGATGGTTTTGGATAAAGTCCCCAGAATCAAGAAATAATCATAATAATAATAGTAAATATCTAACAGAGATAGATCTCTTCAAAATCCAGCATGACGAGCAAAATAACTCACTTATTGTACACAACAGCAGATGGTGAAAGTAAAAATTAACACAATCATAAAGGGTAAAACAGAGCCAGGTGAAGAAAACATGCAGAACCTAAGGGCAGTAAGATATATAGATATGTAAATATCTATATAAATATACCAGGGTATGTGTGGACGGAAAGCAAGACCTCGAATGAGTAGAGGGGTGCATGAGAAATCGATCTAAAGGAAGACTTTTTAGATAGCAAAGGGTAGGCTATGAGGTATACGTAAGGTTAGAGGGAGGCAAAAACAGACAAAGAGGGACCCAAAACGAAGCGTTGCTTGTCATGTCGACTACTCAGCCGCGTCCAGGCTGCTCGATGCAGCCGTCGCCTGGGGACCTTTCTGCTGCCGTAATTTCTCCTCGAATTTTGCAAATTCGTGCAAGCCAACCTCTTCCTCCTGATCCAGGACGTGGTTGACCTCTTTTACTTCCTCGATCTATAAAGACGGGTCAGCTTCAATTCCCAACAACAAAAAAGGAGACCTTCAAATATCATGGTCGGTAAGTCCGCGTAGGAGCGGGACTATGGAAAAATGAAGGGAAGAATAAAAACAAAGCCAATCCACTCACATAATGCATCAACATAGACTCAATCCCATTCTTCAGAGTCACCGTACTCGAATCGCACGTCCGACACGCACCCCGCAGCTTCAAAGAAACAATCCCATCCTCAAAGCCCCGGAACTCGATATCGCCTCCGTCCTCCTGGATCGCAGGGCGGATCCTCGTCTCCAGCAGCTCCTTAATCATGCTAACAACCTCATCATCATCCTCATTATAGCTCAGCGAGTCTTCTTCGGGCGGCGGGCCTCCAGCCCCAGCCTCTGCGACATTGATAATCGGCTCGCCCGTGGTTACCGCCTCGGTGATCAGGCTGAAGACCTCGGGTTTGATATGTGCCCAGTTTGCATCGCCGGCTTTGGTGATGGTGATGAAATCCGGACCGTAGAAGACGGCCGATACGCCGTCGACGTTGAGGAGCTTTGCGGCTAGCGGAGAGGGGTATGGGGGTGTCAGGGTCGAGCGTGGCGAGAGGTATTCTACGAAGCTGGTTGGGAAGTTTTCGGGGAGGACAGGGTGGTTAGGGTTAAATTTTAGGGCCTACAGGAACAAAATACCAATGGAGTTAGCTGATTGTTTCATTTGCTTGTGCTTCCCTTCATTGTTCGATGCTTGCATTCCCTCATACATCTCCTCATCCACAATACACATTGCACATGAATTCATGTTCATTATCAAAAAAAGGATTGCGCAGCGCCCACTTACATCAGCATTCGGGGTAGTTTCCGTCTGAATAAAAATCGACCGGCTCCCCGTGGCCCCATTTATCTGCGTCCCGCGCCTGGTGGGCTGATGTCGCGGATCCAGAGTTGGTCTATGGCGTGAGGTCGACGAGGTGAGGACCGGGATTTTCGCCGCTTGGGTATGCACGCGCGAGATACAAGCGGGCCCACAGTCGCCCAGGGCAGGCGTCAGAACCCGACTGGCAGGCCGTGATAGTAAGATCGACCGTGTGAATGATCTAGAGAGAGTATGTGCCGCCATTGTGTATGTATAATTCGTACACAAGCAGTTAAATCACGACGTATGGGATGCAGCAGGGTTGAGTCGATGCGAGGATGAAAGCTTTTGAGTTTATTTTTAATTTTGGTCTCGTGAAAGCCGAGTTCCGGATGACGTAATTTGACATTAGTAATCTGGAGTTGATCCAGTGGGTCTTGGCAATAGCACGTGACCGTGATTGTCTGCGAACTCTAACCTCGGGTGGCAAATAGTCCTTCCTCACTGAAGGGAGAACAAAGGCGGGTGAGTGGGTGGGTGGGTAGTAGGGAGGGAAATGAAATGCTAGAGGGTGCTCACCATGATACTTGACACTACAAATTTTTAGTGTGATTAAGGATGAAGATATGGGATACGCAAGTCAGGTTGAATGCGGGGTTGACCAGGGAGAGGAAGCTGTCGTCTCCTTCTCTTCCCTTTGTTCGAAACTTGATAAGAACCCTCCGAAAAATTGGTCTTCTCTCCAATTGGATTTTTCGAACTTAGTCATATACTATGATGAATCAAATTAATCAAATAGGTCGAAATAAGAGATATATATGAATATAAAAGGAACAAATTCTATCCTGCTCGTAGTTAAAAAGAGCTTATGATAAATAAATCCAAATCAGGAAAATGGGG